TAAAAAAAAAAAAAAAAAAATAAAACTGTACGGCACTCGCCGATTCCATACAGTGAATCGGCGATTCACTGTACAGAATCGTCCGGTTCTCTCTAGAACCGGACGATTTCCGATTTTTTAGGCGATCCGGTCCCCTTTTCACGATTTCCGAGTCGAACCGGGCAAGTCCGGTTCGACTCGACGTTTTTTAAAACACTGGTACAAACAACTAGTGGAGAGAAGAATGAGTTTCCAGTAACAATATCTACATCCGCATTGAGCCCGTACCTGTTTGTCTTAGTTATAGATGACTTAACTAGGCACTTACAAGATGAGATATTGTGGTGCATGTTGTTCACAGATGAAATAGTTTTGATCGATAAGACCCGAAACGGCATCAACACAAAGTTAAAACTTTTGAAGGATGCTCTAGAATCCAAAAGTTTTAAAATTAGCCGGATTAAGACAGTTTAGTAATAAGACGAATATAGACAAGGAAGTAGTTAAGATTGACGGTCAAGAAGTATCAAAAAGACTGCATTTTCCATATCTTGAGTCGATAATCCAAGAAAATGGAGAGATTGAGGAAGATGTCGCACACATAATTAAAGCTAGGTGAGCGAAGTGCAGATGTGTAACTATAATTTTATGTGATCGTCGCATATCAAGGAAGCTGAAGGGCAAGTTCTATACGACAGCTGTGAGACCAACTTTGATCTACAAGGCAGAATGTTGGGCAGATAAAAAACAATATACCCATAGAATGAGTGTAGCGGAGATGAGGATGTTGAGAAGGATGAGTGGCAAGACAAGAAGGGATAGAGTTTGAAATGAATCCATTCGAAAAATTTAGGTGTGGCACCAATAGGCGATAAGATGAGAGACAATAGACTTAGATGGGCGGGCCATGTGTGGCGCAGAAGTAGTACAGCACTTGTTAAGAGGCGAATTAGTTCAAGTAGAAGGCTCGAAAAGGGCAAGGGACAAGTCCAAAAAGACCTGGTTAGAAGTAGTCTGAAAAGATAAAAGGACTTATGGCCTTACTGAGGGTATGATCTTTAATGAAACAAAATGGCGGACCAAGATTAGTATAGCTCATAGTTAGCAATTCGACGATTAATCACCGAATTTTTCAAAAAAACGACACATTTTTAAACACGTTTTACACACCGGTTTTTTGAAAAATTCATCCAAAAAACGTGTATTTTTCATAATACCGTTAAAAACACGATTTTTTGTAAAAACGAATCAAACGGGTCCAAAAAAACTTCTACGAAAATTTCTAGAGAGAGAAGGGGGAACTGCTATCAAACCACTGTGAAAAAGCCCCGCTCAAATCTGGGCACTCCCTCCCCCCCCTTTGCAAAGAACTCTATCAAATCGCTGTGAAAAAATGATTTGATTTTGGTTTGATGGATCTTTGAAGTGGCTTTAATGGTGGCTCTGAGTCTTGCGCTGGTTTACTATTACAGTGCTTCAAATTTGCATTCAACAATCAAGCAGACCTCTTATGAGGTGCACCACCCAAATCAACCTCCCCAAAAGGACATGGGGCATTTCCATGGCTCGAGCTTTGGCCATGGGTCCTCTTTTTTAGCTCATCAATGGCTGGTTTTGCCTTGTTAATGAGCCAATCCACTGCTTTGCTCGGCCTATCATAACCACGCCAATCTTGAACATCATAGAACTGAATAGCTGTATGAGCAGTGAGGCGGACACACCTATCTCTCGGCCCTTTCACTGTACAGACCTTGCTGTGCCGATCTTTCCAACCTATGGCTCTCACTATATGACCGCCTTCGACTTCCACTATCTCACCTCTGCCTCCTCTCGACTGAAAGCTCAGCCTTCGCCTCTGGTTTTCTGATGAGTTTTCCGGCTGGTTCCCCAGTGATATTTCACCAGAAGTTTGAGCATTGTTAGGGAAAGGAGAGAGCCATGGGGTTTGGTAATGATGATGAGTTTGAGAGAGAGGGTGTTGAAAGAAAGGGGGAAGATTCAGAGGTGGTTTCCTCTGGTTGAGATTTGGGTCTCTTTCCCCTTCCAGATTTGGGTCTTGAAGTGATTAATCTCAAAGGATGTATGCACTGTTAATTACTTCATGGTGAACCAGAGATGAGCTTCTACGGCAACGGCGGAGATGCACCAAAGTGCAAGAAAGCTCAACATCTTAGTAGTGTTAATCGTCTCTCTCTAAATTGATTTTTCACAGAGGTTTGATCCGAAAATTAGTGAATCCGAAAATTTCTAGAGAGAGAAGGGGGAACTGCTATCAAACCCTGTAATATTTCGGCTTGATCTAGCTTTTCTTTATATGGTGTATTTTTTTATATGTATTTAAGTAGGTTTGATATGGTGTATTTTTTTTATATGTATTTATCCGATTTTTTTACTCTGATTTTTTGAGCCTAGTCCGATATATTGGCGATATCTTTACATGAAGTATTTTTGCCGATCCGTATTTTTTATCCGATTTTTTCATTTGACTTTTTAAAATAAAAAAGAATTTTTTCCAATTTTAAGGTAAGCCGATTTATTGAAAGTCCCCGACTCCAATTAATTGGTAAAAGGCTATGATGATGATGATGTACTTTGCCAAATATTCCTTATTTTAACATTGTGGAATTCAAGCTTGGGGCTAGCCAAGATATTAATACATTATTATTTTGAAGATACTAAAAAATCCAACTCGATACGAAGGAACCATCACAGGGGAAACAACAAACTTCTTTTACCTTGCAAAGATCAATTATGACCAGTGTGTAGTAAATTGGCTTGAAGGCTGGTTGAGGAAGCAAAAGAAGCTGCACCAAAACAAGTATCAGGATTAATCAATCAATATTCTCACGAGGTCAAGTACAAGGATTCGAATATGGCATATAAAGAGACCCCACATACTACAAAAGCTGTTCTGTGGTGTTTCAAAACCAACAAAGCTAATGTGGCACCCCTTGAACAATGTATGATAGAAATGGTACATTGTACAATTATAAATGCTCTTTACGTCAATTTCGAACACCTTACCATAGTTTTACCCTTTTTTCTTTTCTGATATTTTTGATATTTACTGATTATTAAATCTCATGTTTGATTTGCACTTCAAATAAGGCTCAGACGATGATGCTGTTTGATTTGCGCTGCTGGGAACTTATAAAAGTTTATATTACATCTAAGCAATGACAATGTTGGTGTTTACTAGTTAATAATCTTGTGGTTAATTTACACTGCTGGGAACTCGTTCTCAGCAAATGAGGTGATGAGAAGTAAAGTTTTCACACTCATTAATTACAAACCATGGGTCAGTTAGCAATACTGATGATAATGATTAACCATGGAGAAACTTATTATACAAACCCATATAGACAAGCAAATCAACAGTACAATTTACCTGTGAAAATATTGTCTCTGCCATCAAATACTCGTAGCGAAATGGTACAGGCAAGCCCACCATATAGGCAGCACATTCTTTGCGGCTAACTTTGCAAACAACAGGACACAAACAAATGAGGAACTCAAAAAAATTAGTTCATGTAAGCATGCACGAGCCTCTCTCCACAGTGATCATGATGAAGATTTAAAACCATGTCACTACCCATTCAGAAATAGAAGAATGATGCAACAGAGAGAATACAAAGAAGCCATATTGCTTCCCTTACTGGGGTATGGTTTTGGAAGATAGTGAAAGTTAATGAATAACTTTTAGTATTGCATATATAAAAAGTACAGTAAATCATATCTGAAATAAAATGTAGGTTTGGCTTGACCTATTAAGGGAGAGTACTTTTCCACGAGATGAAAAGGGTAGAGAATGAAACCAGTAATTTTGTGGTCTTCTTTACCATGAAAAATGTTATTTCCACTTTTTGATCAATCAACAATGAGTTTTATATTTCAAAAAGAAAAAATAATAGAACAAATGCTTAATTGCAATCTACTGCAGCATACCCAAGAGCTATACAATTCTAAAAATGGTTACCATGCTCCACTTCCAACCAGGTGCTACCAATTTTTCACATAACTTCCTTCAACTCTAACTTCATAAAAGCATGTCATCAAACTCATTAAGAATTTAAGATAAATCATAATAATGCCATTCTAAGTATGAGTTTGAATATAATGCTTTTGCACAAAAAACATTGTGTCATGCAAAATGAAGATGACAAGGGTCTCGAGCCCTATAACTTTTTATAATGCAGTTGTTTAATTCATATTTACTGCTTGCATGGACCAAGAAACAACTAGGAGAATCCTATGAAATGATGTTTAATGTAGACAAACCAGCCATTCAGGTACATAAGCACATCGAGCAAATACTCCTCAACAATGAAGCGATCGATTGGCTGCATATTCTGCAATCAAGCAAACAAAAAAGAAAGTTCACTTAATGGACAATAAGGTAAGAAACCAAATGCTATTTCTCAATAGCCACATAGACAACAATAAATATCCTTTGGGTAAATCACTATTATAAAACCCACCTACAAATTAACAACCAAACACAGTGCAGTCTTCCCCTTGCTCATGTATATGTAGTATGGTCAATACTGAAAGGTTTCCCATGTGAGTGTGCATTTTCATGTAGTACAAGTGCAAAACTTTATGGAAGGTAATATGAATTTTAATTACATAACTCACATCCAATTATGGTTTCATTATATAAACAAATCCACCATTTCAATGAAATCTTAGGTTAAGCATACATCGAGTTACACTATATTGCACGCATGCAAAGAGGCATACAAGACGCCAGGCTATGGAGGTGGGCATCTAGACAATCGGTTAATCTTTGCACACAATAACACTACAAGTTCACTGCTCAGATGATGTGGCAAAATGAGACTGAGAGCGCGAAAGATCCTAAATCTCTTCCAGGATGAGTAACAGCATGGAGGCTCCTATTGTGTCCAGGTAATGACCCTGAAAGAGTTGCCCCACATCCAATGAACCAGAAAACAATGAGCTTAATGATCCTAACCCAGCTTAAGGTGCTCTAGATTTCATAGTACTGGCTCACTCTTCCCCACGACAACCCAAAACAAGTCAAGCGACTAGCCTTTGTCTCTACATCTACATAAAATCCTGAAGGCCCCAGAATCCCCAAAGAGCTCATATTAAAATTGGGCCTTACAATTCCTTGAGGGGGCAACTAGTAGGCTGGCACATGAGATGACTTGAGTCATACTGCAAGCCATTGAGTTCCATCCATTTAATACGTCCTGCACATCTTGGAACTCATGGAGGACAAGGCTTAAGGATTCACTGCCTCCCTCCCACCCTCTCTCCCAAACTGAAGACTTTAATGGATATTTCTTTTTTTTGGAATGTGATTTTAGTGGACATTAACACATTAAAAAAAAGATCTTTTTCATTTATCTCTAAATAAAGATTTCTCATGCACCTCGGAGATCAACTCAGATAATCCCAATGAGAAACTTGCTAGTTTTTTTCAGGTCATAAGTAAGCTAGTCTGAAGGCTAACTGAAAAACAAGATTAACGATAGTCAGCGTGCAGCTGAGTGGACAAAAGTATCTATACTTTTCAATTGAAAGGGCATTTATTCACAACTTTTTCAAAATATTTGTTTCCTAATGGCTCGAAGGCATCATTTGGTCAACTTTGATGCACTCTGGGAGTTGGGCACACCATGTCAGATGATCATTTCTTTTATTTTTTAAGGGGCTCAATTGTTAATTTCTAATATGCAACTAAAATATGTGAGAAACACTCAATCAACCCTCAAATCCACATAGGTAATGTACCATGAGAATTGGTAGTCCAACCTCATTTGCTTCCATTTTGTCACTGTACATTTTATCCCCCATAGAAAGGCCCATGGGCAGCAGCTCAGTCAAATATGTTCATTGTGCCCATCCAATCTCATTACCAACGCTTTAGAGTGGGTTTAATGTTTATGTGTATGTGCATGACATGAAACCTCATTTTAAAAAAATTAGAATGGATACACTTCAAGCCCACGCGTTTGGAACCTCATAAATGCATAGGTTGACCATAGAATGCATAAAATTAAGGGCATAGACTAAGGCAATAAAAAAGAGTTCGTGTTGCAAGTATGTCAGTACGGATAACAATTTATAAGTTTAGTATTAACTTTATTCTCGAGTTTTCTCTTGTTTCCCTTTCTCATTTCTTACAATATGATATATATATATATATATATATATATATATATATCATCATGATGATCATCATCATCATAGCCTTTTCCCAATTAATTGGGGTCGAACAATATGATATATATACATATGTGAATTGTCCAGTGAGCTTAGATGTAGATAACAAGAAACGCCATGTTTATCTTGGGGATCAAGATACTCTTTGATCTCAAAGAGACATAAAAAGAGTACTTTGGTTGTGATTAAGCTCAAAATATCATATGCTAGCAATAAGGTAATTATTAGGTTATGAGACCTATCCCAAATAATCCAACAAACAAAATTTAAGCTCACAACTTCTCTATCAACCATATAGAATCATGAAAAATGGTTAACATCCCATAAACTATCATACTTGATGTGAAATAATTTCCTCAACCATATCTGCATAATCATAACAATCCCATCGATCAAGTCGGAATATAATTTCTCATTTCTTGTCAAACAAATTCCCATGTTTACAATGATTAAATTTTATATATCAACATAAATATCCAGATAGATAATTTAAAAGTTAAACAAAGTTCATAGACTCTTATATGGCTGCACCTAATAAAAACTATGCATACACATTAAGATAGCATAACAACTAGAAACCTTATGAGCAGGTTATAAGCTGCTGAGCCAGCATACCTCCTCAATTTTACTTGCAGGAAATATATTAAGTCTACGAAGCCTTTGAGGATACTTCAACTCAGCTTCATGCTTTTGTTTATCACTTCTGTTCATAGATAGGGATGACAAAGCGGCAGGTTGTTCAGGGCAGCTTATCGGCCCAAAGTCATGACATTTGCCAGATACTAATCGTGCTTCAAAGGAAAGGTGGGGTCTAGGAGCTGGAAGAAACAAAGCATGTTTATAGAACCATAACAAATAACGTATGTGTACCATTGGTTAATTATCAAAGAAGCCAATATGATATAAATGACATAAACGATAAGCATCAAACAACACAGGCACATACCACTATCAACTTTCCATCCATTGCTTGAGAGGGCTTGAATTCGCTCCCATAAGTCCTCCAAAAAATCCTAATGAAGGGAATAGATTTAGAAAAAGTAAGGAAGAGAAAACAGCACAATCCTACGAAAAAGATTATTTCCACAGTTTAAAAAATGAAGCCTAATTGGAGCTCCTAATAGATCATGAGTCATGAACACAAATTAGAGAACATCTCCAAAGAAATCATTACACTTTCAGTAGAACAATCTAAGCATAGCCAAAAGAAATGCCATCCAAAATAGTCAGTGTGCGTATGCTTGTATAATGGGTGGGTTTATATGTGCTTAAGTGTGGATGTGTCACTATGTACTTATTTTTGTTGTGTGTGTATAGCACACACATACACACATCATGTCTATGTATGTAAGTATGAGTGTTGTGTGAATATAACACACGCACGCACTAGCACGTGTACACACACAAAAAAGCAAAGGAAAGTTACACGCAGAGAAAAAAACAGAATAAATTATTTTGAAAATTGCTTAGCCACCTTTTTTCTTTTTTTTGGCTATAGATTTGCATAACTAACCTGGAAAATGGTGTTTTCCTTTAGAAGACTCAAGTAGGTATTCCACTGCATAAGTGGGATACTTTAATTTACGAAAGGTAGCACAGAACGAGGTAGCATGTTTTTCATTCTCACCAGCAATAAATCATTGCATGCCTGATTTCAATCTACAAGATTGCAGTGCAATTACAAGGCATTCGGCATAACAATTCTATCCCAGCTTCAAATTTAGAACTTGTTTCTTGTCAACTCAAAAGCAAAACACTTGATGATGTTTGAAAGTACATTCAGTTGGTCTGTAAAATTCAAAAGAAAAACACTTGATGATGATTGAAAGTACATTTTTTGTCAGTCTGTGGTCAATTTTACAGATGTATGCATCTTTTCTGATAATGAATGGAAGTGGGAAAACTTTCCCAAACATTTCTAAGGCATAAGCAAAGTGGTGCCAACCTGCATTTCCCAGTCACATCAGTAACTACAATTTATACAAGTTGTAAGAATACTGTCAACCTGAACGTAAACTATAAGATGAGAGAAACAGTAAGAAGATGGAATCCCCGAGAAAGATGCTCAACTCTCCAACACCACATATTAGTTTTCAAATAGAAGTAAGGAACCAACACAAAAATGATTTTAGTAATGTATGAGGTCAACTAGAAACATGCAACTAGAAGTTAAAGAAAATACCAAAATCTTGCCACTGTACATACCTTCTCAGCAATATTTTCATCAGTTTTATCATCATTATCAAATACTAAGAAGCCAGTATCAGAGACACGCTTTCTGATGCTCAAGTAAGCCTCAATACCAACCATAACTCTCTCAATTTCCTCTGAAGCACGCTGCATTTTTTCAGCAAACACAGTTAAATAATTGTGCACCACCACAGCTGATCGAAACAGCTCAAGATTAAATACCAACAAAGCTAAAGGCAGACATGTAGCGAAGTCATTATAAAATAAAAAATGCATCAGAGAAATGGACTAACAGGAAAGAAATTGATTTGGGATTCAAAGTTACTATGCATGCCTTGGTCCATGTATACAATGCATTATAGTTCGTATGATGCAATCATTGGATTCTAAAAGATATTCATCAATTAAATACGAATCACCAGATGCAACAAAATTGCTGCAGTCTTCATGTTTATTTCCATTAGATGTAACCATGTCCTAAAGCATGGCTCAGGCAGCGGACTCAGTCCCTGAAATTAATCTGAAAATTTGGAGCAAAACCCGAAAATCTTCGCGCGTGGTGCAAATAAATGCCTCCTATTCTTGTCAAAGTTTCCTCAGACAACCCAAATCAAAACCCTCAACCAGTTTCAGGCTTCAAATTATAAATCTATCAAAATCTAAGACACCCCCCCCCCCCACCCCCCCTGCTTCTTCCTTTTTTTTAAGCTCCAGGATTGGATCAATAAACTAAAAATAGATTTGAGATTCAAAGCTCATTAAAAATCGACCCAAATTTGCAAAGAAATCGAAAAAAAAATTGAATTCGCATAAACCCTTTCCTGAAACCTTAGATATAAAAAATCTTTGAAATCTGATGTTTTTCCCTCAAATCCAATGTTCTCAAGCAAAAAACTAGCTAAGGTCGAATTTGGGCAAAGTGAGGGATTCTAGGGCTTATAAACAAAAATAAAAACTGAAGGAGAGAGGGGAAGGGGGGGGTTCAGCTTTCCGCCCCTTGGTTTTATTACGTTATGTGAACAATAACCTGAGTTCCACAATATCAAGCAAGTCTGCACCGTACTCGCCAGAGCACTGTACAGGGACTGAAGGGCAAGGTCCAAAATTTTGGCCATCTAGCTGCCTAGGAGAACCGCCTGGCAGCCAGGTCAGCTGGCTGAAGAGAATGAGCCTAAGCGATAACTTTGGCAGAGGTGTGCCCATACGCCAGCCTAGGCTGTGCCTCAATACACTTGGCCAGAGGGCGGAAAAATGCACTCTGCCAAGGGTAAAAATCGTAATCTTCCCCTCCTTAAAAGGGCGGGAAAGGGCTCCAGCAAAACCATTTTTAAGTGTTCTAGTGAAATAAACCTCCAAACAAACTTGATTTTTGAGATTTTTTGAAGATCGAATGAATTTTCGTACTTTCTGATTCCATAAGAAACCGCAAAGCATCCAACCCTATTTGTAGCTCAAAGCGGTTGTGAAAGAGGACTTTCAACGACCAACAACCACTGGTTCAAGCCAAGATCAATTGCAAGTTTGAAAGGTTTGTGTATTAAAATTTTTGGTTTAAGGTTTTATTTTTCTAAATATTGAGTTCTTTTTGATATTTGGCTTTAGCTATTGTATTTCTCAAGTTTGCATTTTGTGGCCCATACTCAAGAGTGGATTTTGGTTTATGTTCATTGACATTGCAACCCAGTCCTAATAAAATGTTATTGAACTTAATCCAACTAAGAGTTTTTCCTACATTATTGGCCTTAAATTTGTCGTATAATTAAAAAAGGACAATTTGTCGTATAATTAAAAAAGGACAATAATGCGTTTTTTTTCTACTTAAATGCCCCTTTTTCCATTTTCTAATGATTTCTCTTTATATTTGGTGTTGCATTAGAGACTTTTTTAAGTACTTTGGTAAGTGGGTTATCATTTTTGTAAATTATTATAGTTTTTTATTCTATAAAATAATGAATTGAATAAATGGTAAATTCCTGTGTTTTGCATCAATACTTTTGATTTTTAAATTAATAAGCATTTCTTATTGTGTTCTTGATATTCGATAATGGTGACTTTTTCTAATAAAGTTCATAGTTTGTTTTCCAGGATTTTAGTAGGTGAAGATGTCTTCTTATAGTAGAATAAACAACTTGACCAGAGTCGAAATACTGATCATACCCAAATCCAAATGACAAGACATGTATTGGGTGCAAATTTTGGAAGAAACACTACCGTGCTGGCATTAATAGCTTGAAGAAACATTTGGCAAGCATTAGAGGGGATAGAGCCCCATGTAGTCAAGTCCCTAAGAAAATTAGAAGAGAGATGTTGGACCATTTGCAGGAGGTTCCAAAGAAGAAAGAAAGGACCAAAAAAAAAGCTTGCATTTAGGATGAAAGGGAAGAAGAAGTATATGCTCAAGAAGGGCTTCTAATAAGCCATTGGCGTTTGGGCAGAGAGGGTCTTGGGCACGAGGCCCTATAGGTTCTTATTCAAGCCCACCCAATTGCAGTTTGAAGAAACGAGCAAACAACTATAAACAACTGCTTCAATAAAAAAACTAATGGAGAAGGCAAACCAATATGTATGAGATGGATCTATCAAGGCAGCATCCCATTCCATGCCACTAGCTTGAAGAGTTTCCAGGTCATAATGGAAGCAGTAGGGCAGTATGGGCCAGGACATGAGATTCCTATATTAAAATATATATATATATATATATATATATATATATATATATAAATAAATAAATAAATAAATTTAAGGAGCCTCTACTTGGAAATAAGCTCACCATCATTATTTTGAGGTTCCTACATAATATGAACTTAAGGAGCCCCTACTTGGAGAAAAGCTCACCATGATTATTTCAAGGTACATGGGGATACATGGGGTAATAACGGGGTCACCATAATTATCTAGACACACACGGATAAGAGGCAAAAGAGTATTATGAGCTTGATGGTGAATTCTCCAATGGGAACAATGTTCTAGAGGTCCATTGACACATTAGAAAATATACATGATGCGGCCTTTATTCTTTATTTGATGGAAAAATGTATTGAGGAGGTGGGAGAGAGTCATGTAGCCCAAGTGGTTAGAGACATGGTCGCAGCCAACATGGTGGCTGCTAGAATGTTGGGATGAGGAAGCCACATATTTTTCGGCCAACATGCAGTGGCTCACTGCATTGACCTTATGCATGAAGCAATTAGCAAGATGAAAGCAATAACCTCAACTCTTAAGAAAGCAAGAGCCATCACGGTTGTGTTGGTCATAAAGAGGAGCTTTACATACAACATGTACTTGATGATGCTTGGAGTGACTGGATTTGCCACCTCTTATTTGTCTCTGTAATTTATATCAACTGGAAAGGACAACCTCACAGCAGTGTTTGTATCTCAAGAGTAGATTCAAAGCAAGTGGGCCAAGAAGGCCAGTGAGAGGACACAGGCTGACATAGTTTTACAACCAAAGTTTTGGAATGGGGCTGTTCGCACCTTGTGGACAGTGAGGAGACAGCTATGGGTCATATTACAGGCCATGGAGGTTGCCAAGGAGGAAACTAGAAAGAATATTAGATATAATGAAAAGCATTATTCTCCTATTCTGATGATCATTAAAGAACAATTATGTATCAATCTGTGATGTTTTACTCGCAGTTTAGGAAATCTTTATTATTGGTATTGGAGTCCTAGAATGAAAACAATATCTGAGCTGGAGCTGTCAAAGAGATGGCTTGTGACCTAAACTAACAAAGAAGCCTCAACAAAATTAACTATTGAACCACATATGTAAATAAGAGATTAAAGCCTTCCAGTTCTACTGCCAACCATGCTTTAACAATTATATAACACCTTCTAGAGAAAAGGGATGAAAAGGGAATCACCATAATGTCAAAAAGAATATACCTCAAATAGCTCAGCCCCTCCCCAAGGCAGGCAAGATAAAATGCAAGTCACATAAAAATCAGCTCGTGCTTGCCATGATGGATTCCCTTTCTCCTCATCTACCGTTGTAGCGGCTGAGGAAAGCAAAGCCTCAAAGACTTCAATAACAGCACTTGGTTGAACAACATTGCTACACATCTAGAACACATAGAGCCAACATATGAGTGCACACAAAAAGATGTCACCATAAAAATGAATAACAGCCACACACTATGCTCAGTTCATATTCTGGAAACTAGCACACAAATATCAGCAGTAGACAGTTTACCACTTTACCAAGACTTCGTTAAAAGGATTCCCTTTTTTCAGTCATATAGTAGCACCATAAAATCAATTTTTTAAAAATAAACAAAAGTTGACAAGCAGGATATTCAGATTAGATTGATTCCATATACATAACGTCACAATCCATAAGTTCTACAAGAATTAAAGAACCAGAATAAGCCTGGAGAATTAGCAGTACAATATCAACAAAATATGAATTAAAGTTTGTCATAATTAGGGGTGGCAATGGGTTGGGTCGAGTCCAGGTCTGGGACCCGGATCAGAGAGAGAGAGAGAGATCCCGTTACAAGTGCATGTTGGGCAGTGGCCCTTGGCAAGGGAAAATGATTGTGTGCTAATTAAATGGATTTTTTTATAGAATGAATAGAGGCTTTGAATTCCTTTAAATAATTGTGTCCCGTTGGTTTATGTGAGACACGTGGACTATGGACTATGAGCTTCTTCGTTCTTATTTTTATTTTTTGCCCTTTTTTACCATCATAGGGAATTAGTTTAAACACATTCTAGAATAATAGAATCCTTCACACTTGTGCACAATAGACAATTAACATGTGCCAAAAATAACTTTCCAAAAGCTCAATATTTTAGAAAATTATATAAAACAATACTCCATAACTTAAATGAACAAATAACCGAAGGACATGGGGACACCCACATGTGATTAACGTCACCCCTGCTCAGAGTTAGCAAGTCGGTGTTTAAAACGCGACTTTTCGAGAAATACAGAGTTTTATTCAAAAACGTTTAGAACCGCAATTTTTTAAAAGATCGGCAAAAATACGCGTTTTTTTCATGTAAACAGTTAAAACACGCCTTATTGATCTTTATGAAAAAATCGGTCCAAAAATAATTTGCCCTTTTTACCTGTATTTTCTTTTCTAAAAGATGAAAACCTTTATCCTGTTTTATGTAATTGTTATTTCCATGCTTTTTAAAAAGTATATTATTTCCAAAAAAAAAAAAAATTCCCTAAAAAATAAATTTTTATCCCCAGGTAGATTGTTAGGGTTTATTATTTTAGGGTTTATGCTCAAATCCATTGAATAAAATTAGAATAAAATACCATAAAAACCATTTAATAAAAAATCCCCAAATTTTGACTTGGCAAAATTCCACAAAAAAATCCATCCAAATTAGGGCTCAAAGCAAATTATCACAATTTGTACATCTTAAATCCCTCAAACAAAATCTTGAAAAAGAAAAACCAGATTAGAGCTCAATCCCCAAACCAAATTCATGACTGGAAATCTTGGATTAGTAAATCCCTAAAGCAAAAGCTTAAAAAAAAAAAGACAAGATTAGGGCTCAATCCCCAAACCTAATTCATGACTGAAAATCTTGGATTAGGGTTTATGTCCACCGTGTTCTTCATCTTCTCTGAGATGTTTTATGTCCATCTTGTTTCTCTGTTGCCTATGCATGTTCTCTCTCTCACTCTGCGTTTCTTTATGGAAGATTTTGTGTTTGCTCCTCTCGCAATGCTCGTCTTCTTGTTCTGTGTTTCTTCTTAGTCTACTGCGTTTGTTGCTCATCTAACAAGAAAAGATGTACATCTTCCCATTGCTTAACTATGGTTATAAAGGGACGGTCACCATATGGAGAGAGAAATGAACATACCCAACTCAATTCTACTTATCTCACATTACCTTTTTTTTTTTTCGTTATTGACTATGTATGTGTGATGTTTGTTAAAGCATTTAATGAGAAACTTCATATCGTATATTTATGAGCAACTTATCATTTATGTTTTATTTCAACTTAAGTTTATTTTAATTTCTACTTAATTTTATTTTAAACATGCCCGTTTTTTTCACTCCGATTTTTTGAGCCTAGTCCGATATATTTATGATATTTTTACAGAAAGTATTTTTGCCGATCCATATTTTTGACCCGATTTTTTCATCTGACTTTTTAAAATAAAAACGATTTATTTCCGATTTTATGGTGAGCCGATATATTAATCTTCCCCAACTTGCTACTGTGCCCCCGCGTCATCTCCACGTAGGGGGACGTGGGACATCGATTGGCCATTTGGGTGTCCCGTGTGGGTCCCAAGGGACTGTCCTTGTTTGTCATTTCTTTGAAACAATTCTGAAAACTGGATTTTCATGCCCAAAAAAATCCAAAAAAAAATCCCATAAATCCATAAAAATCATTTTAATGATTCTTCATAAAATTAAATCATTTTGGCATTGATTAAAAACATTTACAAGGGAAATTAGAATCCTTGGAGTCAAATTATGAAATAGAGCACTGCACTCGACTAGACCTGGAATCCAAAGCAACCTTTGCAGAATGACTCAATAGACTCATGACCCACAGTGTATAATCAGGGGCTCACGATCTTAGCCTATCAAAGTCAAACCAATGTACGACTATGAATCCTCAAGTTTAAGTGGATTTCAGATGCACCCTCTAGAGGACATGCATACACATGGTGCAAGGGTTCCTCTCTTCACACATGAGCATAGCTCTATCCAGTGGATCTTTGAAAAAGTGGCTTCCCATGCATTGTGATTGTATATGCACATGCTACGTGAAGGCTTGTAGTTACTTAGGGTTTTAGGCCAATGTCCTCTATTGGCCCTAACCTTCTCGTACAAGACTTTAGTTATTAAGCTCATACATAAATCGTATTGCCCTGGCAAATCATGAGGCACAAACATAATAACCGACTCTAACTAAAAGGTAACTCTCAACCCTCTCGGTACCTCCCATATATAAATCATCCTCATGACATAATCGGGGTTCCATGACTCTTGGTCCCAATGTGCCAAGATCCCAGAGAGTCATGTCGCTCTTATACTCCCACTGAAGTCAAGAACCATTTGAAAATGTCTGAATTTAAGGCCTTGAAAGGACATAATTTCGACAGAACTCCATGAGGAAGTGTATATCGCCACGTCCCCAGGTTTTCAAGTTCAGGGGGAGGCATGAATGGTGTGCAAATTGAAAAAGATGATATACGGACTTAAACAATAGCCAAGAGTCGAGATTGAGAAATTCAATGAAGCCTTACCAAAAATTGGGTTTAAAAGCAATCAAGTTGATCATACATTGTTTGTGAAGAAAAATGGTGTTGAGATTACAGCAATCGTAGTGTATGTTGATGATATAGTAGTAACAGGGGATAGCTTAGCAAATATGAATATCTTAAATGTTATCTAAAAGAAGTGTTCAACATAAAAGATTTAGGTCTACTAAAATATTTTCTGGGCAATGAAGTGGCAAGATAAAAAAAGCGACTTGTTATTTCTTTTAGGAAATATGTGTTGGATTTGTTAAAACAAAATAGAATATTGGGGCCAAACCAATGGATACACCTATAGAAACCAACTGTAGATTTCATGAATAGATGGGAGAGTTACTTAAAAATCCTAGTAAATATCAAAGGTTTATGGGCAAGCTTAAATATCTTAGAGTTACACAACCACATATTTCTTATGTTGTTAGACATACAAGTCCTCATTTAGATTTTGTCTATTGTAATCCTAGTAAATATCAAAGGCTTATGGGCAAGCTTATATATCTTAGAGTTACACAACCACATATTTCTTATGTTGCTAAGAGTAATTAGTCAGTTCCTACATGTCCTCATTTAGATTTTGTCTATTGTACCCTAAAGTATCTCAAGTCATCTCCTAGTAGAAGATTGTTGTTTAACAATCATGGTCACATGGGTGTTGCAATTTACACTAATACAGATTGGGCAGGTTCACAAGCCGATTGAACGTTTACTACATGTTACTGTACCTTTGTTGGAGTTTCATTGAAGAGTTAAAAAACAAAATGTGGTGGCTGGATCAAGTGCTGAAGCATAATACAAGACAGTGGCACATGGGGTTTGTCAAGTTATGTGGGTGAAAACTATATTGGCAGATATGCGAGTTAAAGTTCACTTACCTATGGCCCTTTATTGTGACAATGACGCAGCCATTCACATTGTTAAGAACCCGTATCTCATGAGAAAATGAACCATAATGAGGTCAATTGTCATTTCCTAAGGGCAAAGAGTACAACCAGAATTATTTGTACACCTCATGTGAAATCCAGAGATCAGTTAGCAGATATCTTTATTAAAGCAGTTGCCCGTGATAGACTGCAACATATAGTTGTCAAGCTGGACATCTATGCTCCAGCTTGAGGGATGTTGTAGTACAGCAGTAAGTTAGGGATATAAATGGAATAATTTAGTACACAGTTAAGCATAGGTTATAAACTCACACAATGGTATTTTTTGTACCTCTGCTCATCAATAATCATGAGAGTAATATAAATTATATGACTGATACCAGGAAAGGAACATGTCATTTTCTCCCTCTCACTCTTTCTCATGCACCTCTCTCCTCTCTCTCTCTCTCATGCATCTCTCTTCCCTCTCTTTATTTTATCTCTCCATTCCTCTTCCTCCTTCAGTTAGTGGCTGTTTAGAGTAGACAGAGATCATATATCTTTCAGTAGACATAGATCATATATCTTTCAACTATCTTATGACAATTTCAGCAATGTGGTCATCCATTATAATAAGGAAAAAGTTTATATAAGGTTGCAACCTTATATGTAGAATTACGGATGCACCTCAAAAATCCATCGGAAAATGTAGTTTTAATGTTGAAAAACCCTTGGATTGATTTTAAGTCTCCGAAATAGTGCATTTTACAACATACTACTTACACCGTCCATTTTCAAGATTTTCATACGTTTATAGATCTACTTGATTTTAACAATTTTTGAAATTTAAAATTTTATAATTAGATATAAAAATAGATTTTGAGATAATCCTAAGAATATTTTGCATCCAAAATATATACCATGATGAAATTTGAAGGTCCACCTTACCCCTACAGCTACGGATGCATCCGTATGCTAACTGCACCCTTATAATAATTCTAAGTAGTACTTTCTACAATCTCATTCAGCAGTATCAAGAAGAGGAGAAATCAAAATGATTCACGGCTATGAAAATTTACTCAGGACCGAGAACAAAAAAATAAAAATAGTCATGACAGGAAGACACACCAGTACTGTGAGGAATCGCAATAGTATGCGAATCTTGTCGCAACTTCCCAAATCCAAAGCATTCTGAAATGTTAAAATCAGTTCAGTCAAGATAATTCTTCTAGAGAAGAGTTCCAAAGATGAAAAACAAAATACTAAGCAAGAAATAATATCATGATCCTTGTAGGCATTGAAACAACGCTACGAGTTGTCCTACATGCAAGGGCTACTAGTAAATTACAATGCAGTCCCATAGGCATCCAACAGAAGGAAAAGTGTGATCCCAAGCCTTGATGATAGTCGGTGTCTGTCAGCGGCCACACATTCATAAGCCTCGGGAGTGTTGACATGAACAGGGTTTAACATGAGGAGTGCCCTATTGTGCTCTCACAGTTTCTCATGACAGTGTAGAGGCTCCAGGAGCAAGATGATCAAAGTTTCACACAGAGGAAGGGGTGACACCTTTTTAATCGGTATTAGCACGGGGTGCATGCAACGCATGATTGCACATTACAACAACATTGAATGATAAATAGAGAAAATTCTGTCAGCTTCACAAAATCAATCTAAAAATTGTAACTTTATTTTGTTTCTACTATTCATTTAATTTGTATTTTTGCATTCACAGCTTCATGGGCATTTCTCATACCTTTTTATAGGGCTAGAGTGTCAAGGTAATTTCCATTATTTTTTGAATTTTTCTCTTATTTTTTATTTCCTTGACAGCACTTTTTTAGTTAAAATTTTCATAGCAAAGATCATATTTCTACATCTAGTACGTGAAGACAAACATCGATGTATACAAGACAATAACATAAAGGCAAGGAGACCAAGAATGGTAATGAAAAAGTAAAAGTTAAAAAAATAAAATCTGAAAGGCAAAGCAAAAACAACTACAATCAATCTAAGATGTTTGTGAGTATGTGTCACATGCCCACAGCCTCAATCTTCAAAGTTCAAAAGTCATAAAACGCATGAACGTGGCCTCACACGCACCTGCACATAGACAAACATGCACATGCAGCATCTACTGTGATGCCCATGCTAACAATCCAAACTAAGACACCTCTTGAATGTTATGTACGACTCACCTGTAAATTAGTTTGGGTATCGCTGACCACTCTCTTAACAAAATCATCATTGTCCAAATTTATCAAACCAACCTGAAAAGGAGGAGGATGATGTTTATGGACTTCACATTCATCAAATGGTTCAACATGTATAGCTAACTATAACGAATAATAAAAAATAAATATACAAAAATATGATGCATTATTAACATGGGTTCTAAAAATACAGTATCAAATTTATCTGCCATGGCTACCTCAGAAACCCACAAGATGGTCACATTAAAGTATGCGATTACGATTATCGTTCGATATACATTACATAGAGAATGATTAGTAAGCTACAAAAGCACGAGTTGAAAATGCCAACCTACGACACAAGTAGAAACCCCAAAGAAGCAAGGAAAAAAGCAGTATTGATTTTGTTCTAAATGTACGAAGAAGATAGCATGAAGGATTCAATAGCTTGTGAAATATTAACACCTCTCACTGGTTCCACATCCGGTCAGATCTTAATAACATTGCTTACACTAAACTTCGAGATAGCATCATCCTGCTAGAGTCCATCAGTTTACATATAGCTCATTTCATCTCTGTCTTAGATTTTTTAACCCAAGTGATCCATCTCTAGGGCTTCCACAACATAAAATCCCAAGACTTGTTGAGGGAAAACATGCCTATCAATGGACACGTGCTCCAAATTAGTGTTTACTTGGACAAGTTACTCGAACTTGGCAATTACTCGGACTTGGCCAAGTTACTCAGCCTCGCCAAGCTGCCGAGGCAAGTACCCATGCCTACACTTGCGGTTCAAGGTACATGTACAATACTCAGATGTGTACTGTGCAGACTCGCTGGAGTACCATAGAACTCGGTCAGGACTCAACTGATTTCTATAGTACTCCGACGAGTCCTTATAGTACTCACCTGACTATCACATATAAAAATGAAAAAAAAGCAAGGGTGGAAATCCCCCTTTTATCATCTCTCTCT